ATTTTAATTGTTTTTTTATTTTTATGATTAATTGTAAGTAAAAACATAAAGTACGAAGGCAATCTATATATTTTAAGTATAATTTTTATGATGATGTAAAGCCTAATTTTAAATTAAAATTATTGAATGTAAATATTATGAAATTAAGTTTTACAATCATATGTGATTAATTTTATTTATCGTATTTATTTTAAATGTATAAATAATTATCTTTGATACATGGTACAATTCATATGTTAAAGCAAAGAAACAATAATTGATTTTAATCTTATACAATTATTAACATATATATCATTAAATTAATAAAGAGAAATTAATATTAACATTTTTGACAATAACTGATTTTGTGTTATTATTTTATACAGCGTCACATAACAAATATAATAGTAGTAAATCCCACACGCACATAGAAGTTGGTACTTATATCGGACTCAATTATGCGGTTGGTGCGCTTACTGGATACTTATCTACTGATGTAGTGAATGTAGGATGTCGTCAAGCAAACAGTTCTATATTATCTCAATTACAATTTATAAAGGTTTTTTTAAAGAAGCACATGTGTTTGTTTTATAGATTGCTGGCATTCGTGTCCGAAATCAAACATTTACAGAAGCGGTAACACCAGATTCGGCTTTTACCTTTTTGGCATACGACGGAATCTTAGGAATGGGTTATCCTGAGTTTTCTACAAAAGGAGTGCCTCCCGTTTTCACCAGCATGATTGAACAAGGACTAGTGTCTGCGCCTGTTTTTAGTTTTTATCTGAATCGGCACGTATCTCCTTCTAATGTCTAAAAATATGGTTTCACTTGAACGATTCGTTTTCCTACATTACAAAATTTTGTTTTTTAAAAAGTTTTGTAGTAAAAATTTTTTAAAAAACAATATTTTTTTTAACGTTGAAAAAAACATAATATTTATAGAAATTACGGTAGTCAACTGATATTGGGTGGTTCCGACCCCACTTATTATAACACTGAGTTCACTTATGTTAATGTAACCAACAAAGGATACTGGCAATTTGCCATGGATAAGTACGTTATTATTTTTTAAACTACATATACATATATGTCAACAGATTATATATCAGCTAATTTAATGCTGTAGGATAAAAATGGAACATATGATTTTATGTTTTTATGGCTGTGAAGCTATCGCTCACACTGGTTTTCCGGGACTGTCTGGACCAGCATCAGATATCGAATTTATTAACAACGAATTAGATTCATTAAAACGAGTTGGAATTCCTCATTATGGCGGAGAAATACTTGTAAGTAAATGATAAATTTTCCAATGGCATCTTTTTTTTAATGATACTGAATAAATTACTGATAATAAATTAATAAATATCTGATTTGTTGCTATTGACAATACTATGGTTTATTAATACTAAGCTTTGTTATGTTATTGATTATATTAATATGGATTACTAGTAGGTACTATACTTTGTTTAAAGGTGGATTGCAATCAGATTTCTGAGTTGCCCAATGTTACTTTCTTTCTGAGTGGTAAACCATTCGTAATCACTGCACAAGATTACATCTATACTAGAATGGTAAATATAGTTAAATAAAGGTTTAATATTCCTGATCAATTACCACGAATCTTCAGATTGATGATGTCAGAAGCGATAAAATACATAAAAATTTTTGTAAAATATATTAATTAGATGCATTTTTCAAGATAATAATTTTTGTATTTAATAAAATACACTTGTAAGCAGGAATATACTGATTTTCTCGCAAGTTATATAGTTAATTTCGTTTTCTGGTTATAATTCAATTTCAATTATAAGGTTATTTATTGATTTTATTGTAACACATGCAGAGAGTTGGGTATATTTTGCAAATATATCAACTGCAATGTTGTTTTATTAAAAAATATATTTTATTGTAATTTGCAATGCTTTTTTAATGTATTTTCTTTGATTTTGATGTCGCAATGTAAGATGGTAATGAACAGACACACACACATGAGCTGTAAATTGTTTTAAAATAAAACATCATATTCGATTTGTAGATCGATTGGAGAAACAGTACAATGACATGCACAAGCACTTTCGTAAAGTCTAGTAGGGATATTTGGATTTTGGGTACTCCATTTCTTAATCAATTTTATACTGAGTTTGACATGGGGAACGATCGAGTGGGATTTGCGAAGTCAAAATAAGTATCGTTTTTTTAAGAGATAACTTTAAATGCTAGAAGATTTATTAAATGATAGTAATAAGTAAATAATTAAATTTTGCACTCTTTCTTTAGAACAATTATCCATGATCCTTATGCTAATTGTACCTTTTATATGGGATTACTTAGGCGTTAACGATATTCTTAGATCAATGCGTATGTAATATTCTTTAGAAAATTAGATCGAAGATGTATGATATTATCGTTATCGATTTGTTACTTTATAGCTCATTATTTCATCATAATATCGCATTGTCACACGAATTATAAATATAATTTGGTCTGTACTTTTCATTATTTTTCTTTTCTTTTTTTAATAAAATATAGAAGTTGTATGTATTCTTTTCAACTCTGCATTTGTAAACTTGTCTAAAGCAATAAACTGTTTTAAGCCATAATTAATGTTATTGATTACATTTTATATTTCTAGGAAATGATAATTTTAATATAATATTTAAAAAAAATATAATTTTGTGCATTTAAGTAATTTTAAAAAATTATAAATTATTTTTGGACAAGTTGTTTAAACTGCAATAAAGAAATAAGTAAAACATATTGATTATAGTAAGAGGGCCATATTTTTTCGGACACTTAACTTTTATTTATTTCTTTATTATCCAAATTTGTAATTACATGAAATATGTATGTTGATGTTATTTAAAAAAAATTTTATTTTACATATTTGATCTATAGGCATCATACTTGCATTCGAATTCTTTTCTTTTTTTTATTTCCTTTTAAATGTTGACAATTATTTTAATTAATTAATTTTTTTTCACAATTATACTTTCAACTAACCAGTTAATTGGATTGGATTTGAAAAGTTTCTTAATCTTTCTCTCTTTCACAAGATGTTTCATTGCCCATTGAGGATAAAAGAAAATTTATTGTACAAAAATACAGATCGTAATACTTAACTGCGTCAAAATGATTTGTTTTTTAGATTACTGTGAATAAATTAAAATAAAATGTTGAGTTAGATTTGTAGCAATGATTCAATGACATCAGCTAGATGACAACAGTTAAAACATGCTTTTTAATGTTGACAGCAACATTGATTACTTTCAATAATTAAATCTTAATTTTAACATTAGATTCAATGCTGAAAATCTTTATATGAGGTTCAGCGCGATATATAAAAAACAACTTTAACTCAAATAATTCAACTTCTAATTACTTAACTTCTGGTAACATAAAAATAATTTCCAGATTATTATAATATAACATATTTCAGGAACTCTTACTTAAAAATCAGTTTCTACAATTTTCTTTAAAATTTTTTAACATATAAATTACAAATATTCGTCTTAATCGGTTAAGAATTACAGTATTATTTTTAAATAATAAATTTTTATTTGTGCTGCTTATACGTCAAAAAGAATATAAAATATCGATGAATGTATAAAATTAACTGCTGAAGATGGTAAAAATAAATCGGAACACTAAATTATGTAAATATATAAAACAAATTATATATTGTTTTTAAATAAATTTTAGCACATTATGTACCGCGCCGATTCTCAATCGCTTTCATTATTTCAGTTATTTGACACTACACTGTTCTTTTGTAAACCTATCAAGACAAATAGTACATAATTTTAAAATTAACAACTTTTTTCAGATCTAAAACATTGAGTATCTAAAACATTGAGTCGCGTAATGTGAGAGGTATGCTTAAATGCATAACACAATTTTTTAAAAGTTTATTAGAGATTAGTAAATGAAAAAAACCAAGATTGTATTCAGAAAGCTCTGCTTGTTCCGTTGTCCTTCTTTTCACCCACTTCTAAACACAGTCACGTACATAAGCTCGTAAACAGCATTGGGAACGCTAATAATAATTGACTTTTTTCTTGTATGTTATGCGTTCCAACTATGAACTGATTTGAAAAGGAGTTACAACGCTTCTAAAACATTCTTGATATTTGATTCCTAACTTTAATTGCTACGAAATTCGATAAACATGTTTCAATCTTTTGTGTTAATCGTGGCACTTGTGGAGTTGATCAACTCGGAATTGTTAAGGTGAGATAGTGATAATGTTGATTCGTGACAAATACTTCAACGATAATTAGAACAAAACTGTAAAAATATGTCCTTGGGTGTAAGATAATCTTATAAAAAAGGCTTTTGAGCCAAAAGGCTCATAAAAATTAAAATTTGCATTTAAAATATCTAAATGTTATATTAATGCCTAAATAGGTTAAAGTGAATTGCATTCATTACTTAGTACTGAAATGTTGAGACATAAATAATATCTAAAAATAAGTAGAAATTAAATTTAAAATGATTAATTATTGTAATTTGTCCGAAATTTGTATGTTGTATGATATTTGTATCTCTTCGTGTATTTGCAATATATATATATATATATATATATATATA